ATACAACTAGTTTGTTAATGAGAAAATAGTTTCTTAATGCTATGATGGCATATGTATTACACAACTAGTTTATTACATCATAGCATTAAGAAACTATTTTCTCATCATATGTATTATAGAACTAGTTTGTTAAATCATAGCATTAAGAAACTATTTTCTCATCATATGCATTATAGAACTAGTTTGTTACATCATAGCATTAAGAAACTATTTTCTCATCATATGTATTATACAACTAGTTTGTTACATCATAGCATTATGAAATTATTTTCTCATCATATGCATTATACAACTAGTTTGTTACATCATAGCATTAAGAAACTATTTTCTCATCATATGTATTATACAACTTGTTTGTTACGTCATAGCATTAAGAAACTATTTTCTCATCATATGTATTATACAACTTGTTTGTTATATCATAGCATTAAGAAACAATTTTCTCATCATATGTATTATACAACTTATTTGCTTAATTGTAGAATTAGTTGAGTTCATTAAAAGCATTTTAAAACGTTTTTAATTCTTTTTTAAGTGTTACGTGCCCAAGTGGGACAGCAGCACATCTACGTATTTACAACACTAGAATCCGGGGTTCGGTTCTCCGTGGTGGACATAAAATACAGCCCAATGTGACTTTGCTCTAGAAACAAACAAACCCAAGTATGATACAATTTCTTTCATAATATACATCTATTTTAATTCACCATATACATTGAACGAATAATTTGTTTCATTATATACATTATACAATTTATTTATCACATGAATCATACAATTAACTTAATGAAATAGTTCATACCATCATATGTATTATACAATTTGTTTCATCCTGTGTTATATATATAACTTGTTTGCTCCTTCATATGCATTATCCTGTCAGTTTCATTCACCATGTGCATTATAGAAATTGTTTGTTTCACAATATGTGTTTTAAAAGTAATTTATCATACAATTAGTTTAATTCATCATATATATTATAAAAATTTTAACACACGCATTATACAGCTTATTTGCTTGATCGTATGCTTCATGTTTATTTTTTACTAGGTATTATACAATGTTTTTCATATCCTATGCATTGTTTGCTACTCCATATGCATTATAAATCTTGTTTATTTCATCAACTACAATATAAAACTAGTGTTTCATTATAAATATTATACAATTTGTTTCATGATGTAAATTATACAACTTGATTCTTTCACCATACACATTGTGAAACTAGTTTGTTTCCTTCTATGTATTACAAAACTAGCTTTTTCATTATAAGATCATAGATATTTCATTATATGCATTCCAAAATTTGTTTCTTTCATTACATGCATCTTAAAAGTTGTTGGTTTCATCATACATTCTTTTACAATTTCTTTCATCATATTGTTGCGTCATCGAGTCACATGACTACTGTGACGCAACGTTT